TTATAAAAATCTCTCTGTATATATATATATATATATATATATATATATATAAGTAACATTCTGTTCCTTAAAGCCTCATTTTCATCCATGTCAAAATACCATGTACTGTTTATCGTGACTAATGTTTATAATGACATTAACGTTTTAAAGTAGGTTTCTTGAATATATCCCACACCCTGTCTGTCATTGGTGGATAAATGGAAAGGCCTGCCCTAAACTTACTTGAATACTAGTTGAGCCAGTATTGCTGTATCTAGGCCTGTCGTAATAATCAATATGTCGACTTATCGCGCAATATATGTACATGACCTCAATAATTTTTGGTGATGCAATATATCGCCCATTATTAAGTTTTAAAGGTATCTAATATTTTTGATTCTTAATTTCCATGATCTAAATATTCTTAAAAATTAAAAGTTTGTTGTCATTTGGAAGTGTGTAGGCCTTCTTGCATTATTATGTTGTTACATTATGATTATATATTCAGTGGCATAAAATGGTCTTTAAAATGACAATAATATCGCTTATCGCAATTATTTCTGGGGCAATATATCACACAACAAAAAGTTGTTATCGTGACAGGCCTAGCTGTATCAGATTGTTAGAGATTTTTTTGAAAATCACATACTTTAATAGGCACTACAGTTGATGAGGAACAAACTTTGCAACTGATAAAAAAAAAAAAGTATGTTGTAGTATGAATGTAATCCAGGCATACTGCTTTTGCCATGTTGGCGTTCTCATGTGACTTACGGCATCAGTTGCATCGCTTCACTGCCATTCATAATCCTCTCCCATGGCCTTTGTGGGATAGTAAAGTGTGCTTTAGATGCGTACTTCAGAATCTCATCTGAAGTAGTAGCTCATCTGGGTACTTTTCGCCTAGTTTTATTGAATTCTATGAATTTGGACATAAGGTGCATCCCAATTTGTGTCCTTATGCACTATTCTGTGCCATTTTGTAGTATAAATAGTGTGATTATTGTGTTCACACTGAAAATTTCAATAATAAGTGCACTTAATTAACCAAAAAAATCTAGGTGTGGAATGGACACTTCACGCTTTCAGATTCTGATGCTGGACAAGATAACCTTATAAAACTTGTATTGTTCATAGTGTAGCTATAGTGTATCATTTGGGACACAACAATACTGATTTTACATAATGTTTAGTAGGCATATTTAGATGCAGGGACAGTGTATACACTTTTCAGGGAAGTCAGATGACAAATGGCATATTTACAGTTGTCTGTGCATAAGAACGTGACATAAGTGAAAGTATCTTAATACTAAAAATATGCCTCGTATCATCTTTCAATTGTGTTTTTTTTTTCTTCCGCCAGATGGAAGCAAATAACCATTTCAACTACGGGCCTCACTCTTCTGTGTCCGCTAACTCAGGACTGAAGCATTCCTCAGGAGATTCTCTCTTTACTAACGGGTCCTCCATGAGCTTCCCCCAGCAAGGGAAAAGTGAGTCTCTGTCTTGTATTTGCATTTCATTTTTTATCCATACATGTAGTCTATAAATCCATAAATGTGGTGGATTTTGAGCCCTTAAAGGGTTAGTTCACCCAAAAATGAAAATTCAGTGATTGAATACTCATCCTCATGTCGTTCCAAACCCGTAAGACCTTCGTTCATCTTCAGAACACAAATTAAGATATTTTTGATGAAAGCCGAGAGCTTTCTGACCCTCCGTAGACAGCAACGCAACTGACACGTTCAAGGTAGGGCTGGGCAATTTGGCAAAAAATTAAAATCTAGTTTTTTTTTTTTTTTTAGAACATTTGACCGATTCTCGATTTTTAACTAGTCAACTTGAAAATGTAACTGGGTCAAAGACATTAAGATGTCCGCATCAAAAGAAATTTACAAAAGTGATTATATGTCCATAGAAAGCACATTAAATGTAAGTAAAGTGTCTACTTTTAAAGTTTCAAATACGTTTTTGGAGAATAAACATTACAATGTTACATTGTCATTCAGTGTAACACAATATTTACGTAAAAATTCAAACAACATGCTTATTCTGACTTGTACATATTTAAATATATAAAATAATAAGGGAGCATATTACATTTGATTGTGTTTTAAATTAGTAAAAAGTCTTACTGACAAATGGGCAAAACCTAGGATGGTGGCAAATTTTAAAAATTTAAAATTACAACTAATTAGTATTTGGGGTGAAAGTAATTAGTCTTTTAATGTCATAAATTGATTTTTGTTGTAAATATGCCTGACAAGATTGTTACACTGAATTACATTTTAGTGGGTATCTTCTGTAAATCAGGGAAAAATGTATGATATTTATTCTTTGCTCGGAAAAACAAAAACAAAATTGCAATTAAATTAAACAGAAAACTTTTTTTAAAAAATTGGGAAAAACAACAATAATTTAAAGCAGTACTACACTTATTGTTTTTATGCTTAAACCCTTTTTTGTCTTTGACCCAACTACAACATGATTCAAGTAACTTTTTCGTTATTAACCCTCTATTTAAAGAAAATTCTATTCCAAGTGCACCACCCATGAAGTTGTCAACATGATGTCAATGTTAAACAAATCACTTGTTAAATATCTTTGCAGAAAAGATGAATGAACTACAACTACATATTGTACAAACGTGTCTTATGCATATTATATGTTCAGAAAGTCAAGGAAATTCAAATTCAAAATGACTGAAGGTATAACACAAGTAGACTATTATTAACTATAAATGTTCTGTAAAAACAACTGCAGCTTTCAGCCTGTCACCATGATGCAAACATGAAATATCAGACGTACAGTAGTAGTCACAGGTTTTTTTATTCGTCTACGCTACTTTTCCATTGTTTTTTATATGTAAACATGGACACGTCTGACTGTTGAGCTCGCGTCTCTTGCAGTGTCTCATGCATGAAACGGCATTCTAAATACGCGGCGCTCAAGTTAAAAGAAGTTCACTCCCATCTTATTGCATGTTTTTCCTATTCCACTGCCCGCGTCGCATTTTTGTCAACACAAAAGCGCATTCTGTGTGATACGAGCGCATCACACGTGATCAGTTAATCACGTGCACCGACATGCGGTTCGATCGTTCTTTTCTCTTTACTGTTATCATTGGCATAGTCAAAGTGTCTAATTCTAACGTTTGGTAATATTTCTATTCAAAATCGCGATTCCTCGATTTCTAAAAAATACAATCGTTGCAAAACATTACATTCGAATTAATCGATAAAATCAGAAAAATCGCCCAGCCCTAGTCCAAGGCCCAGAAAGGTAGTAAGAACATCATTAAAATAGTCCATGTGACGTCAGTGGTTCAACCGTAATTTTTTGAAGCCATGAAAATACGTTCCGTGCGCAAAGAAACAAAAATAACGACTTTATTCAACAATTTGTCTCCTCCTTGTTATTTTTGTTTTCTTTGCGCACAAAAAGTATTTTCGTGGCTTCAAAAAATTACGGTTGAACCACTGATGTCACATGGATTTTTATTTTTTTAACGATTTCCTTACTATGTTTCTGGACGTTAATCGTGGTAGGATCCTTGCTGTCTATGGAGGGTCAGAGAGCTCTTGGATTTAATCAAAAATATCTTAATTTGTGTTCCGAAGATGAACGAAGGTCTTGCGGGTTTGGAACGACATGAGGATGAGTAATTAATGACAGAATTTTCATATTTGGGTGGTCTAAACCCTTTAATGCTCTGATTTTAACTGATGCTGTTCGTCACACAGATCTGAATGGCGAAATGAATGTGAACGGCATCACTACTGCAGGTGGGAGCAGCCAGCCAGGTACCCACCCTCCCTCTTCCTCTTATCCTCATATGAGCAGCCATCTCCTCCCAGGCAGCATGGGGTTTGACTATCTGTGGGGCCAGTCTCAGTACAACCCAGCGATGGGGCCCATCCCGCCCCACGGGTTGCACCAGAAACCTGGCTCCCAGGGTGGGATACAACCACAGCAGCCTCAGCTCCACTTCCAGGGCCATGGACCGTACCAAGTCAACGGAAGTATGGGACCGTCCCGGCAACCTCCGGGCGCTGGGCTGCAGTATTGGGGAAGGGGAAATCCTGGGCAGCCGCAGGGGGGATCTTCGATGCCCATGGGATATAACTCTCACAGCATGTATGGGACATTTCCCAGCCAGGGGATCCCAGCGTCCCAGCATCACCAGCAGCCTCCGGCCTTGCAGCACCAGTCTGCAACGACGCATCATCTCCAACACCATTCACACCACCACCCGCCTCAACACCAGCAGCAACAGCAGCAGCATTATGGTGTGATGCCTAATGGAATGCCGTATTACCAGCATCCATCGCACCAGTCCCAACCGCAGGCCCCGACTCAGTCTCAAGCACAGACTCAGATGATACCACCTGCTGCACAGAGCTTTACGCCTCCACGAGGAAGCCCTCAGCACCATCACATGGCCAGTGGAGGAGGCAGAAGTAGTCCCCATCACGTGCCGGTCCCAATGAGGTCCCCTTCTGCTGTGCCTGATAGCGGTTCGCCTAAGAGCAGAGAGATGCAAGGTGAGCAACTGCCACAAACAGGCCTCAGAGTGTTGGAAACAGGGTTGTTACGGTTTAGATTTTTTATGTAGTTTTTAATTTGTAATTTCAGTTTATGAAATTACATTACATGATAAGGTGCAATTAAAAAAAAAAAAGTGATAAAGTCCACTTGCATTATTCGGTGTGGTTAAGATGTGTTTAAGGCTTAATGCTATAGAAAGGCGTTAAAAGATTTTCAGTAAGAGTGTTTTCAGCTTGTTTATTTTCATATAAAAATATGGAATGCAGTTGCTTCAAACAATGGTATAAAGCTTCTCAAAACATCATTCAATGTAAATTGTGATAATTGTAATTAATAATCGCAATTACAATTTAAAGGGAATAATCGACAGGTATGATTTGTCACAATCGTGCAGCACTAATTGCTAATGAGTAGCATTTTCATGTTTAATAGAGGTGGGTTGTAAAGTTGTAAAAAACAACAATGAATTTGATATTATTTTAGTCAGTTTTAGAATCTTGAAACTGTGTTTTAATTTTTAAATTTTCCCATTAAAAAGGTATGTCCGCTATGTAACTTCCCTCTAGCATTTAATAAATAAAACACTGTTTTGGTTGTACTTTGGCTCTTACTGTAGTGATTTAGGCTAAGGCAAAAACACAGTTTGAATGGTGGATTTATCATGTATTCATGTAATTTTTAATTCAACAAAAAACAATATTACATTATTTCTTTATCAGTTTTTTTTGTTAACTATAAAACTGTGGTATTTAAGTGGTGGCACTCCTGCCCAATTCTCACTTTTTCCCCCTCTTAAATGAAGCCTTAGTAAAGATCTATGCATACTAGTGTGCTGTCTTAAATTAATAAAACATTTTGGTATGTTGCACATGTGACCAGCTGCATAGTCAGTTTGTTTTATGAGGTCTATAGCATTTCAAAACAAGATTGTTTCACTTGTTTGCAGATAGCTTTGTGGAAACAATATATAATCTTTGGCATTCATACTGTAAGTAATATGATTACAAGAATGGCAGCGTGTTTTATCATGCATGTTCTGATTTCCTGTACTTAGGTGGTGCCATGCACTTCCTGAATGGCTTTTAATATCACCAACGCTAGTATTCTGTGCTCTGACAAAAGTAACTTTAGGCCAGTCAGACGTGTTTTCACCAATGGTAGTTGACTTTTTGGATTAGGAAGTGATTCAAACTGAAAAATAGTCCGTAAACAGGTGATATCTTGCCCCAGTTCTCTTTTCCACCCACATTCTCCCTCATTCATCAGACAATGGAAAACTGCACGCAGCCTAGATGCAATAAAACAATCAACAATACTGTGCTTTTCATTGAAGATCAAAATGCATGGTCTGTGTCTTAATTTGTTTTTGCTCTGCTTTGACCTTGTTCACACACTGTATTCAAATTGCTCAGAGGAGCACGAGACAACAACCATCAGAGACTTTACTGTAGTTTCCACATTGATGCATATGTTGATTTTTGGCCTGTACACTCATTTATTATACACAGCTTATATTTCATTACATAGATAGTGAGTGTAAAGGAGTGAATTTAGTGCACATGCTATTGCACAACCCAAGTCGGGTTTGAACTCTAGTTGCCTGCACATTAACAGTATTGTGCACTACATTCCAGGCCACATCTCTGACCTAAAAATCCAATTTTAGTTGCATTTCAAACCAAAAAATGAATGTGGATTTTTGCTACCAGTCTGAACAGTTTTATGTTCTTACATGTCTGACTAACAGCTGTTGTATGTGTTTTTTTATTTGTGGTCTGTAGTTCCTATGAATGAGTCCTTCAAAGAAACGGATAAAGGCTTCAATGGAGTGGAGAGAAGCTCTGTACCCCAACGTTTGCCCAAAACTGAGAGTTTTCCTGTAAAGCCCGCTGGCCCCGTTTCCTCTACCGACTATAACCAGGATGCGCAGCATCCAATCGTGGACCTGGAGAAACCAGTAAAACAACGTCAGGAGATGGGAGCTGCTGCAAAAGAGCTTAGTTCTTCCCCCGTCTCTGGACCTCCTCCACCACTAGCTAGTCCGCCTCGGAAAACGGTCTCTGGGCTGGATTCACATTCTCCTTCATCTTCAGGGTTTGCTTTATCTACAGCTTCGGGTGTCGGCGCAAATGTGTCCATGTCTCCACCATCTCCGCTTCAGACAGTCCAAGGCCAAAGACCTGGATTCTCTGGACCTTCATCAGCTGAAGCAACACCTGCAGGACTTACTACACCTCCTTCAATGTCTTCTCCTAAGAGCTCCAGAGCTCCACCTGTTGTTTCCCACAACCAGCCTGTGGTGTTTTCTTCAAAGACCTTGATGCATCCTCCAACGGTGCCTGCTGCGCAGCGTCTGGCGGAGGCCCAGGGGTCAAAAAGTCCACAGGTCTCTCCAACACCTCTATCTTTAGCTGCATCTCCATCTGTTGTCTCCGCTCCTCCTGCGTTGGCACCGCTTAAAGGACCCCAAGCGGCATCACCTCTAACAGGCCAGAGTCCTAAACATCCTGCTGCTTCCTCAACTCCAACATCTGTTGCCGATAACGTCTCTCTCCCGACAGTTTCTGCACTTCCGTCTGTGGTCGCTGGTTCTCCTCAAGTTGCCGCTTTGGCTTCATCTGCACCACCTCCTGTTGTTAGCTATTCTTCTCAGGCATCTTCAGCAAGTCTCAATGTTTCTGCTGCTCCAAATGTATCTCGTTCCCTCATTGGTTCTGCAGCTCAACATTCAGATATGATGGCAAATGTAGATGTTTCTTCTCACAGTCCAGGGCAGATGAGTTCTCATGGTGTATTACGGCACAACTTTGGGGAATCACACTCTAGTCTGAGTCATGGTAAACATGAGGCCTGTGGTTCCCAGATTAAAGTTGGAGTCATAATGGGCACATCCAACAATGAGACTCAAGCTGAGATGCATAAGGTGCAAATTCATGGTCGAAACCTTGAACCAGCTTTCATTGTTTCAAAGGAGCCTGAAAGAGACACTACGGCCATTGGCAGAAAGGACTCTAATGGTATCAGAGATCAGGCTGCCCTGAGGAAAGGAGAAAGTGAGACTTTAAATGATTCTTTTAGCACTGACACGTCACTGGACTATCCGTCCTTGGCCGAGTCAACCTACCTTGAAAGCTCAAGAGCTGAGGATGGGAGTTCAATGATGGACACTTTTGATAATTCTTATAGTCTTTCCCAGACTGGAGACCAATCAAAGTTTACAGAAGGATCCATGATTGATGTCTCCAGGGACTTGCAGGACACTTCTTGTGAAGAAGAAAACTTGAACAGCTCCATGACCTCTACCAGTTCCACCGAGAAGGCGTCCCTCAAAGATACCACGTCTCTACTGGATGACTCTTTAAACGGCACGTCACAAAACTGCTCCTCCCTGCTTTCTGCATCGATTAATGCCTCTACACACTCTATCAAAGGTGAGATTTCCAATGCACTAATATTGAACTAATAATGGATTAATAAAAAAGTGAATCTGTTCATTTGCTGAAGATTACAGTTAACAGTGTTGTTAAATTATTAGTGTTTTTATTGATTAGTTTTAACCCTCCAAGCCTCTTCATTTTTGGGTTACTCTTGGTACCTTGCTGGTCAAAAGTGACCAAAGCCTTGGATTGTTTTCATTTTTTCAGGAAAATCAATGTTATATATTTTTGTTCTATAATATTTTTTCTTTTTGTATTTTGAAAGAATGTTATGGTACCAATGAATACTTATGCAATAATAATGATCCATTTTTTTCCAATTGAAAAAAAAATTCATACTGTATTTTAGGTTAAAATAGAGACTAGCTGTGCACTTTTTCTCTGCATAATGGCAGATTGTGTACACAAATATTTTCCCATTTCCCAATAATTTCCTATGGTGGTCATTTCTTACAGTGAAGACCACAAGCGTGACACTTTTTATTTTATTTTTTATTTTTTATGTCCATTTAGCCTTTTCGAATCGTGCCCTCAAATTGTGTTCACATACCAAATGCCATTAAAGTTACCAAGTTTTGTACCGTTCTGATGAAGCTATGATTTTTAATATTTCGAAATGTAAAATCTTTTGGTCAAAAGTGACCTGAAGATGCCTAGAGAGAGCCTTCGATGACAGTAAAGGTAATGGGCATGTACCAAATGCATATCCAATATCGACCGACTAGATTAAAAACAAAATTTGGTTACTTTGGTAACCAATATGGTCCCAAAGTATTATACATCCCTATATTTGTCTAGGGATGTATAATATATTGGTATAATAAATATAATATGTGTAATTTTAGCACTTATTCAGGTTTATTTGAACACTAAAGTTTCAGATGGTGGTCTGAAGGCTTGGCAGATGTATTGTTGACATCTTTTGATGTCTTGTTTAAATAAAACACATTTTATTCCCCACAGGTGATCATATTCTTGGCAAAGAGAATGGAGCTGATACTTCAGGAGGTGACAAATCTGCGCTCTCTGTAATGACGGTTAAAGCGCTGCAAGTGGTCGTAAGCGGTTCTGTTGAAGGGACGACCACACATATGTCTGAAGCCCTTATTGCCATGCCAACAAAAAAGCCACGGAAGCCTAGAACCCCAAAGACGACAGTTGCTACCGCTGAAAGTAAATGCATTGCTCAATTTTACTATCATGCTTACATAGCTAATGGTTTACAGATTTATTTTTAAAGATAGTCATTGTCTCTAATGAGTCAGATGGACAAAATTAGGTTAATGCTGTCTTAATTGTTTCCAGTTGGCTCTCCTGATTCCAAGATCAAGAAACGAAAGATAACACCTGACGGCCCAAAACAAGAAAAGGTTAGGAGGAGAAAGAAAACAGACGATAATTCAACGACTGCAGTGAAGAAGAGGAAACTCTCTAAAGAGGCAAAAGAACAGGACGGCGTCCCAACTGATACCTCAGCTCCTTCAAATGCTCAGCCTCACCTTTTAATTGATCCAATGACCTTCGTCCATGACTTAAGCCTGACCAATAGCGAGAGCCCCATAGTCCGGCACAAGAAGATCTGGAAGCGCAAGATGAAAGAAGGCGTGAACGAGGAAAAGCCTCCCAAACCAGCCAAAGAGTTCTCCGAAGGAAAAACTGAAGAAGATGACGATGATAACGGCTCCGCAGCAGGTACCTACATGTTTGAAATTTGCTCTTTGTTCTTAAGTAGTGTTCAGTCTCTATATGCATACTTCTGGCACCTAAGGTTAAAGTAGATTAAGCTGTTGTTTGTGTGTCACAGGTGATACCCCAAGGCGTCGGATTGCAACTGAAGAGCAAGTCCAATTTCCTTTGCAGCATGGGTGAGCAGTCCTTTATCTAAAGTATCGATAGCCAGGTCAAGATGCTTCACTTGTCCCGAGGAGCCCATGTGCTCCTAATTTGAAAAAAGAACTTTAGGGGTGCAATGAAAAATGATCAAATAAAAAAAAAAGTTTTTTACTTAATAAAATAAATAAATTTATAATTTAATATTTAATTTATTTGAATACAAAAAGTACACTAGATTGTAAGCTTTTCTGCTTCAAATTGTATTTATTAAATAATTATGGAATAATTTACATTTTAAACATTGAATTAAATGCCAGATATTGTTTGTGTAACAAAAAAAGCAATAATAACCAGAAACAAAAATGTTAGAATGTCGCCAAATAATTATAAACAAGCCCAAAATACACCAGGGGCCCGTTCTTCGTACGTCGCTAACTCGGTTAGCTGGATTTGATTGTTGACGATTTGGCATGATCTTGGATTGGTTGGTTCTTCGAAGCTCATCCCGGAGTTGCTGTCATAGCAACAGGTCTGTAAACTTAACTTAATAGTGAATAGTGTTCCCTAATCTAAAGTGTTACCTTACTTATCCAGCAGTTTCAAACTGTTAACATGTTATTTCCTCCCTACTCTGTTCACATGGAAGAAGGTTCTTCCGGGTTAAAACTGAGGTTAGCGCCATGCTAGTTCATGCTGGTTCAAAGGTGAGCGCGCGGGTAAAAAGGAGGCGTTGTTGTAGAGGAACGGGGTTGAACCGTGTTGCATATGTGAGCAATGAGGTGATTAAAGGAATGTCCTAGTTCTGGACATTACTATGTCGATATCAGAGACAAAGATACTAAAAAAGATCAAACTGAAGAGGAAGTTCTAACAGTGACAGAAAATATGTCTCCAGATGAGAAACGCAAAGTCCTTCTGAAGCTCCATAAACAGTTTGGTCACACGTCGGCAGACAGGCTACAGAGGCTCATTCACAGTTCAGGAACTAAGGACAAAGAATGTTTTACTATTCTACAACAAATAGTATATGACTGTGAAATATGCCAAAAGTACAAGAGGACAAAGCCAAAGCCTGCTGTGGGGTTGCCCATGGCTTCAGAAGATAACGAGACTGTGGCAGTGGATCTACATGAGTTAGAACCAGGTGTATGGTATCTTCACATCATCGACCACTTTACACGTTTCAGCTCCGGAAACATTGTGAAAACAAAGAAGTCATCTGAAATTGTCAACTCCTTCATTCACACTTGGATAAGTGTCCAGGGTGCCCCCCAGAAGCTGTACAGTGATAATGGAGGAAATGGAATTCAACAACCAAGAAATCAGAGACATGGCTGAAAACTTTAACATCGAGACAAAAACAACAGCTGGGTGCAGTCCCTGGAGCAACGGACTACTCGAGAGACATAACCAAACACTCACCGAGATCATCCTGAAGGTCAAAAATAAGGACAAAGAATGTTTTACTGTTCTACACCAAATAGTATATGACTGTGAAATATGCCAAAAATACAAGAGGACAAAGCCAAAGCCTGCTGTGGGGTTGCCCATGGCTTCAGAAGATAACGAGACTGTGGCAGTGGATCTACATGAGTTAGAACCAGGTGTATGGTATCTTCACATCATCAACCACTTTACACGTTTCAGCGCCGGAAACATTGTGAAAACAAAGAAGTCATATGAAATTGTCAACTCC